AATTGTTATATATTTACATATGTTATTAGATTACAAATGTAGAAATTATTATACATTGTTAAAATATTTATTTAATATTGTCAAATAAAGCATAAGCAAGATTATAAGGGCAATATTTATTTACCTGGGTGAACAAACTGTTTTGAAGTACGTTACCAGCACATAGTTGCATACAAATATTTAGTATGCTAATTACAAATAGTAATTATGTACTTATTGTATGAGCTCTTTCTTTTGGAAGAATTATAAGTAATCCCAATTTAAGTTACTATATATACTTGAAAATTATGATGCTAAATTTTTTTAGATATATTTATTTACTTGAGAGAGAGAGAGAGAGAGAGCATGAGCAGGGGAATGTACAAAGGGAGAAGGAGAGAGAAAGAATCCTTAAGCAGACTCCCCACTGAGTGTGGAACCCCACATTGGGCTAATCCCAGGACCCTGAGGGCATGACCTGAGCTGAAGTTGAGAGTCAGATGCTTAACCGACTGAGCCATCCAGATCCCCCTGATGCTAAATTTTATATACATATTTTGTATTACCTTTTAATTTATGTTGGCTTGTCTTTTCTATGTTCAGTCCAATTTGGTGTTTCCCTGTATTCCCTGAAATTAAAATAGGTTGTGTTTCACACACACAAACACATATGTACACATACACACACCAGGGCCAAAGTGACACTAATTAGTCCTCTTCAATACCAAGTAAATCATATTCTCCTTAGGATTTATAAAATCACCTTCCTAATCCATGCTGCTAAAAATGAATTAACTTGCTCTGATATTTTAAAGAATGTCTAATTATTTAATTATCTTCATTATGTGAATAAAGCTTTAGTCAATTCCCTCCCTAGCATCATCATGTTCTTCCTTAGGGCTAAGCTTCATTTGAATGTACAGCAAGTTCACACACACACACACACACACACACCCCATAATGATATAACGTTACAAAGCAATTTTAATTAAAACTATTGAGAATACGTTGTTGTTGTATTTTAAAATCATCTTCCTCTGAGAATGATATGAAATGGTGATGTTTATACTCCAGTGGGAGACCCAGCAAATGTTAGCTTTCAGTCATTTTCCCGAGACCACGCAAGAGTTCATCTCCAGTCCCTGGTCGGGCTCTTGTGGGAATAGAAATACCACGCTCTTGGCTTGACATCGGTGCCATTTCCAAATGTTACCATGGTGATCACCTATGCAGCATCACTAACCCTTCTCACAACAGCTCAATTTGAGATTCAAGTTTCACGTTTCCATGATTATGGGAGGGTAATTATTTCATTACTCAAGGGAAGAAGATTTAAGAGGTAAATAGCTCTTCATTAAATCTTAAATGATTCTAGGCTTTTTAGGCCACAGAAATGCCAAATATTAAAGTGATGACATTCAGAAGAGTAAAACGTGACTGGGAATTGAAAAAAAAAATTCAATTTTTGCATACTATAACCCTAAATATTTTTTCTCTGGTGAAAACATCTCACATAAAGTACAAGTATATTGTGTCAATAATTCATGATTTAAAATAATTTTCATGTGAACTAAATGCAAGGAAATGTTTGTGTGTATACTTGAATAGAAATACCTATAAAAAGAGAGGGATTTTATGAACTGATCTGGTTTGAGAGGAGGTAGTGTCATATTATATAAGGCATACTTTTCTCTATATATCTAAATAAGAATTTTATTATAAAAGAAAGGATTCTTATTGTAAGATTATTCTGTTATAAAGTATTATTTTTGCTTTTATTTACTATTGATATTTGAAGATTATGCAGCTGAAAATACTAATATGAAATATTTTCAAAGTGTACTTGATTTTACAAAATATCACAGGTCAGCTGTGAATTGAAGATATTTGGAGAGTATCTTAAATATTAAAATAAGTGGCTGTTGATGCTGAGCAGCCCAATGACAGTACAAGGGATTACCGTGATACAGCTGACCTGTCCAAACCTCAGCTCTCTTGGAAGAGACCTTGAAATGCTATAAATTGTTTAGGTTAAAAATATTTGGCTGACTTATACTGGATGCCACTTAAGTTATGTCCACCACAAGACAAAAATTTCTAACCACACTATGTTTTGTCTGAGGTGTTTTTTTTTTCTTTCTTTCTGTCCCTTTTTTTCCTGTGTTGCCTCTGACAAAAAGTCCATTAAAGATAAAAAAAAAAAAGAGAGAATTAGAGATATATGGGAGGTTAACTCCTATATGTGACAGAGGGTGTGTGATGCAGTATTAGTGGTTTAATTTTGACCTGCCTGAGATCCTGTAACCATATGACACACAGACTTAGGGCAAGGGGGGGATTCATTCATAATAATCATTTTTCCAGAGGAAAGAAAATCTGGTTTAAATCCATTTTCCTCTTTCTTGGTCCTTAGTATTTCCTGACACTGCATTATTTACCTGTAGTGGTGACAGGCTTCTTTCTTTCTTTTTCTTTTCTTTCTTTCTTTCTTTTTTTTTTTTTTAGTGGAAAGAAAATTAGTTAGAACTGATTGTTAGAAGGCTCACTGATTGAGTAATTAATTAATTAAAAATTATTCATTCATAAGCCTCTGGAGAGGTGGAATGGGAAGGTTAAGAGGTTCAGAGTGGCTGTAGTCTTCAGTGCCTCTTTGCTTATTATTCAAATGCAATCGAGAAACTCATGGAAGGTATTCCAGCTTGCTCATCTTTTGGAAAACAGAAGCCTGCAAGGCACAAACAGTAACTGTCCACTACCAACAAAAGCATGTAAATCATGGAAAACATTCAATGTGTCTTCAGTGTTTAAAAGTTATATCCAATGTTTTAATACAAATAGAGTCCTAAAATGTGTGGACCACCGGGGGGATCACAGTCTGGTACGGAATAGAGCAACAACTTCACCAGAGTGTGTGCTGATGAACCAACCGTTCTAATGTCCCTCGTCCCTTCCCCACCCAGACTTTTCTCGTGCAGTCTTCTCATTCGACTTATGTCTACCTCACATGCTAAACTCCCCACCTCCAACCCCTGCTTCCCCAATTCCAGGGTCCTATTGAAGGGACATTAAAAAGTCTAATTACTTTTTAAATAAAGTAATTTAAACATCTTCTAGCCAAATGTCGTCTCTGTGTGTGTTTGTATGTCGGTGAGAGGGTTTGGAGGTGGGAACGTGGCCTTCCTTAAAAACAACAACAACAACAACAAAAAGCCCATGAAGTTGTTGATTTTCAAATAAAAGCTGTTCTTTCTTTAAAAGAAATTCCCTCTGCCTTACTGATACAGCCAAGGAAAACTACAGCCTGTTTTTAAAATAATATGTTTTTCTGTATTCTAAATTTACCACCTATAAATTTTGGTTAAAATTTAAAGTGTATACTTCAAATATCTTACAATGTTGTCAGCCCTCAATAAAGCTGAAAAAAATGTCTTGCCATTTATCTGAATTGCAAAAAATCTTTGAGGGCACATTGCACAGTGTTGAGAATTAGAAACGTAAATGCGTAAGGGGCTCCTGAATAAATAAGCCAAGAAGGCACGAGTCAGTCTCAGGGGTTCTTGCTTCAAGTTCTTTTCAAGGTGCATAAACTAAATTGTGCTACCATGTTTAATAATCTTAGTGGCTTAACGCAGCAAAACTTATTTCTCACTAAGGCAAAGTCCTCTGTGAGTCTGGGTGACACTTTGGGACAACTGTCCATGTCATGGCAGCTCAGCAGGCTTGTGTCTTTTCCAGGAGTGTTGTGGCAGGCAGGGGAAGGGACAGAGTGGAAAACAGCACAGGCTTTTATTGGCTCAGCCGTAAAGCCCATATGTCACTTCCATTCGCAGGTATTACACAGAGCGTTAGCCTCAGTCCCATCTAACAGCCATAGGAAGTAAGAACTGGTATTGGGAAGTCCTAGATGTATATCTGGAAAAGAGGAGGAGAATTTTTAAGGAAGTGGAGAAATCCCGAGCGCCAGAAAGGCATTTCTTTATTCTCATAAACTATCACTGGAGTTTTTACTGTGATACGCCTCTGCCTGATGGAGCCTGTAATGAGATGAAAGAAAGAGTTCCTTGAGAAAGAGAAAACAGCCAGTGCCTATTCAGTGCTTCATAGCTTGGAGAGAAAAGGGAAGAAGGATGTGACAGTAGTTGAAGGATACCAAAACTTCACACATTAAAATTTTTTTAAAAATCTGCTAATAATATAGTGCCTACCAAAGAAAGTAGAGTGAGAGGAGGAAAAACACTATTCATTTAGTTAGTGTGGATTAATGGCTACTCTCATGTCTCCTGAGCAGAAGGATTTACTAAAACAACCTCTTAGTTTCATTTTGTGCTAACAACTCTACCGACTACCTTAATTAATTGCCCAAAAACTGTTAATAACCATGTCATCATAGACCATCATGTAAATGAGCTTTAAAAGTAAAATCTGAAGAGCAATCTTGCCATTCATTTATCTGAACTAATTATAATGTAGGAATAATTCTCACAGCAGGTGAAAACTGAGAAAAAGCATGCTTTTGCAGGAAAGCAAAACATTTTAGATTTGACATCAAAATTTTGGGAGAAACAAAGAGCTTCCTTTATTGCAAGGCAGAGTATTTTAAGTTTGTTATTTTAGTTACATTAATATTTTTAATGACCTATTCATAAAAAAAAATCAAAGAAGACATGGTGCTTGCTTCAATAGCACATATACTAAAATTGGAATAACAGAGAGAAGATTATTAGTTTGACCCCTGTACAAGGATGACATGCAAATTTGTGAAGCATTCCATATTTTTAAAAAAAGATATGGAGGATTGTGTTCAGTTTTCTTTTTAATGTTGATGAAATAGAATAACATATTCTCATTTTATTTTCATGAAGAAATTATTTGTAGAATCAACAAGGAAGAGAAGGTGTTACACTCGAAAATCAATGGATATTCATAAATTGACTGGTTGTTTTGTTTTAGTGACAGTATAACTTATAGCTATAAAATATAGAATATATCCTGTGTTATTCCAGTGGTGGAGAAGTGGATAACCTTGTGCCTGACAAAATGGAGCTAGAGGCCATGAGGAAATACACCAGCCCAGTGAACCCAGCTGTCTTCCCCCATGTGACTGTGGCGCTGTTGGCCATTGACATGTTCTTCACCTCCTGGTTCTTCATTTACAAGGTTACCTCCACCAAGTACACTCGTGATGTCTATAAAGAGCTCCTCATCTCCTTAGTGGCCTCGCTCTTTCTGGGCTCTGGAGTCTTCTTGCTGTTCTGGGTTGGCATCTACTTATGAGCTCTCAAGGGGTCCAACCAGGCGGCTTCACTGAATCCCTGCTTCCATAAATTAATTTGTTTACTATTGTTGGAAGTGTCCTACCTGCTGCTTATGATAAAGGCAGATATGTGACCATCAAAAAAATGTAGAATATATTATTCCTTAGGAAGGCAGCCTGGTGCAGTGAAAAGTGATGGATAGAAATTCACATCCTGATACATACTTTTGAGCAGTGTGAGTTTGGGTTTACTACTTTTTACCTCATGAAGCCACAGGATGCAGAATTGGTATGAAGACAAGCTGTTATGGTATGTAATGGACCCATCTCTGTTCTTGACATATGGTTAAGTATTTATTGTAGCTATATTTTTTCTTGTTTTTCACCTTTGTAAGTTTGGTTATTTACATTTTCTTGAATTTTATTACCTTTCCTTTTGAGGAACAATCCTGTTATTTATAAACTAATTTATCCTATAATGTTAAAAAGTGTTCAGAAAGACTCCAAAGGGGAAAATATCTGGAAACTTTCAAGAACAGTCTCAGTTAGAAGGAATCTTAAAACTCTTTGTAGAAGCAGATGGTAGTTTTAAAGTCTGCATCCACTGAAATGAATTGTTTAAAATTTTAGTTTTCCATGTGTGAGAAAAGTTGCTGTATCAGCATAGGTGGAAAAAAAGCTATATGCCCTGATCTTTCAGTTGTCTATGAAAGTATATATAAAAGGAACTCATTAAAGTTATTTAGAAGAGGAAGAATCTCATGAACTTCCTTTACATTGCCCATTCTGACCTGGGATAGATAGAGAAGTAGAAGAGCACAAGGAATCCTAAGCCACAGAAAGTAATTTCTTTATTTTTAATAAAATATCAATGGAGATTTTACTATGATATGCTTCTGTAGGATTTTGCCTTCATTTTGATTTCAATAAGTGAAAACTTTGGAGGGTGGCATATAGGCTTGCTAATAACCTCATCTAGCTCAACTTCATGTTCCATAAAGTGTTAATATCTTTTGTTAAGAAAGGTCATCCAAAACTTGTAAATAAAGCAGAGGATGACTGAATGACTTGTCAATGTCTTTGTTTAACAGACCTGTCTTAGAATTAATTTAATTTTAAAGGAGAATACACCCGTATTGACTTAACTATTTACTACTTAATCATTTTTTACTATTTTCCATTTACATGTTAATTGGTGTGTGTCTAGCTAGGAGAAAAGATGATGCCAAATGTTATAGTTTTATTACACAGTTTTGTATCTTAGCAAATCCATTTCAGCATTCCTTTGACTATTATTTTAAAAAATCATTCTGACCCTTGTTAAAGAACAATAAGGAAGATTTTATTCAGAGGACTAGTGCAATGGCATTTTGCCATAGGGGAGACAGAGATTGGGCTCAATTCTAAATACAAGGAAAAGAGGGGATTTACACCCAAAGAGCAGGGTGGGGGCATCGGTGGATAGAAAATTACTGAGGAGGTATCAAAACTAGCGGGGGAGGGAGGGTTTCTGCTAAGGACAGGCTAGGGAAATCAGATATTATGGGGGGGGATAGGGAGATAAGGGATTTGATCAGATATTGTGGGTGATCAAATATTGAGGGTGGCAGTTCCTTCTAAACTGACTTAGCAAAATTCTTGCTGCAGATGAGTGATGCAGGCCCAACAAGGAGGAACACTAAAGCCCAAGGTCAAGACTTGGAGGTCTTAGAGGAACTTGATGAGAATTAGATCAAGGAGAGCCTATCTTTGTCATTGTGCATTTCTGTTTCTCAAAATCTCCTTTGAACTGGTCTTTCCATCTTACTGGTTCCTTTGTTAATTGATTAATTAATTAAACCTTTGATATGTATTCATTTTATATTTATATGAGAGTCATGTTTTGAATTTATTTGAAAATTGTACTTTAACCTTTCAATCATGAGCTTATTTTTATGTAAAGGTTTTTGAAATATAACTTTCAAAGTTGTGGAGGAGATAATGTCCCTTCACAGTAGTCTGATCTAACTCTATGCTCTTAATCAGTTCTTTAACTAATTAGCAAATTATTGCACACATATAGTAAGAATATCAGCATCTTCAATAAGAATATGTTCAATTAGGCAGTAACATACCAAGTGTTTCTCTTAAGAGCATTTCTACACTTTTAATATTTTAGGAGATAAGGATTATCACAAAAGAGCTAAGTAAAACCATTGTATGTGCTCTGCAAATGTAAGATATGGAATAATACACAGGCCTTTATTTATTGCTTAAGTGATATTTTTTTAAACAACATTTTAATAAGAACAACATAGTGCTTTGACAATAAAGTTTGTATGCTTAGAGTTTGCATTGCCATTAGATGTGATTTGGGAAAATGAAGTAGGAATAGAGATGAGATAAAGATGAGGAGACCAAACATTATTTTATATGTCCATTGTTTTATAGGCTACTCCTTTTTCTTCCTTTCTTGTGTTTTGGTTTGGGTCCAAACGAGAAAGTGGGTAGTTGGAGGAGAATTAGATATAAAGGGACCTCTTACAAAGATTTGAGAATGATGTCAAGAAACTACACCTGATAGTGTAGCTTGTAACAGTGGGTGTTACCTACAGAAAGTGCACCCGGTAGGTGCTGTGACCTTGGTCTTAGGGAGCTGACCCTCAGGGAGAGAACTGCAAGAATGAATATCATGACTTTACTCTCCTTTCCCCATCCCCTGTGGATACTCCCAGTTGGCTAACTTTAACCAGAATCCAGAAGATAAAGTTGTGCATTGGTGCAATCCCTATTCCTTAGCCTCCTCGTGGCACAGGGTAGGGCGGAGATGGGTGAAAACATGGACCTCCAAGATAATATGAAAGATGTCCTGCACACTTCTGGTAAATATTCAACAGGGATGTTAGTTGCTAGACTATAGGACAGGAGAGACTAAGACTGGAAGACTTTTCTGGCTGAGCTCAGAAGTTTGCACAATCCAGTTTCATGCCAAAGGAACATGTAGTATTGAGTGAGAGCACCGTCTGTCCAGGTAGGGAATTAGGTCTGGAGGGTAGTAGTCAGTAAAGTCCAGGGAGATGCAGATAGGTTCTGTGAACAAAGGTAGTTGAACCTAATTAACATTCTGGAAATAACCAACTTGGTGACAGTGGGATAGTTCCTTTAACTTGCCTAGTTTTACATTTTTCATGTGTAACAGAATGAATGCTGTATCTTCATACAATTTTAAGTGGGGAAATAAAAATGGGAGCAAACTTTTTTTTATCAGTTTTTATATTGTCTTACTTCTAAGTATTGTTTTTCAGAAGAGCAGCTAAAACAGCATCTTTTGTGTCCTCATATTATTATTTATCAATGAATTCTCCCCGAAGGAGGCAATCAACACCAGATTGTTAGGGTCACTTTAATCAGAGCTGTAATGGTTTACTCTACTCTATGAAGTTGATATTTACTCTATATATAATGAGGAAGCAAGAAGTGATAAAATGGTCAGCTGCAAGAATTAAGCATTTATGTCCAAATGGAGGGGAAAATCTTTATTTTAATTAGATACTCCTCTCAAGTATAAAGGAAAAGGTAAGTTAGTGTCTCTATTACAAAAGAAGCAACTCAAGGTTAAGTAATTTGAATGTGTACTAGTTGACCCAAAGAGAGAATGAGGGGATTGGTATTTAACCTAAGGTTAAATCTAAGGTTGGGTGCATTTCCAGCCGTGGGGGACTGGAAGGCCCTCTCTGAATTTCACTGCGGAGATCGGAATGTACAGCTTGATTGCCCCTGTCAAGTGTGTGCTTGGCTTGCTCTCCGGCTTGCATGTCTCTGCTGATTACTGGCAGCTTGAAATTGTCCTGAAAGAGAATGAGTGCTCTTGATTAATCCCCATGCACAGTATCAACATATTATTGATTCATTATCAGCACATCGTGTTTCATTTCTCCGCAACAGAGATGGGCTGAAGGCAAATGTGACTTCAAAATGGATGCAACCCCATGAACATCCAAGTTGGGTAGCTAGCTTCTTTTTCTGGGTAAAGTCCTACATAAAATGCTGAAAATATTCCTCTTCTCTGGAGAAGAACTGTAGAGTCTAACAGCTCCAGTTTAACAACTATAAAGCAAGCTGGTTTATTTTATTATTTATGTGTTTAGTTATAAAAGCAGTAGATAAACAAGTTCTCTAAGTTAGAGTGCATTAGATATTGAGCACTTTATTATATACAGCTTTCATTTATATCACTGTTAAATACAAAGCTTTAAAGAGATAAGTTAACATTGATTTATTCATTAATCTTTTATTTATTCAGTCATCCACTTACTGAGACCTACTATATTGTATGCTAGGCACCAGGAGTACAAAGCTGAAAAGGCATGGTTAGATTAAGCGTTCACAGAGAGAAGAAGAAAAATTGATATGCATTATATAAATTTATGTATATAAATTACTATTTATATATTATGTATAGGTATATATAAATTATATGTAATATATAAACATATAAAACATTATGCATATGTTTAGTAATAGAAATATATACAAGATAATGAAGGGATAATTAATTCTTATGGCAGGATTTCAGAGAAAATTGTGACCATGCCAAGGTTTGGGAAATAAATAGGTGTTCTCCCGGAAGACAAGGATAAGAGATTTTGGAGCGAAGAAACAATCTGTGAAAGAGAACTACAAGTTTCCTTTAGGTTATGCTAAGTAGTTGAGTGTTTTTGAAACATACATTCAAAAGGGAAGTGATGCGATATTAGGCTACAAAAGTCGGTAAGGGACAGGTCTTTGAGGAGCTGTCTTCTGTACCAGGCAGGCTGGCCATTAGTAGGTGGTAGGGTTCTGAACACTGGAATCGAATCTGCATATTCAAAGACCACCCTGATACATTTGAGTGTTACATAACTGGAACTAAAGATCCCAGTCACAGGCTACTAAAACAGGACAGTTGAGCAAGTGCCTTGAAGAAGTGGCCATGGGGATGAAGGGGGAGATTCAGTATGTATCTAAGAGATATAATCAGAGGAATTTAGTTCAAATTGGAGGTTGGCAATAAAGAGTTGTTGAAGATGCCTCACAGGATTCTGTCTCATGTCTGTTCCCTACCAACTGCGGTAGGGAAAAGCAATAGAAAAGTAGAATTGTGATGGTA